CTTTGAAAGAGTAAGAACAATGCTGCAGACCATCCCAATTGGCAGGTGCTGTTTCCCAAATCCTTTTAGCTCTTGGGCAGGAGAAAAAAAATATGCTCTGAAGTCTCAGGTTGATCACCACATATAGAACAGATAGTACAAATGTCTACCCCTCTCCTCCTCAAGTTGGTTGTTGTTGGCAAGGTGTCAGAAATACATTTCCAGAGGAAGTGTTTTAGTTTTCCTTGCATTTTCATTTTCCAGCATCTTTGAAACATTTGGTGAGGAGGAAACAAGCTAGTGCTAGCTTCAGGGATGTCCAAGAGAAGGACCTTCTGTGCTACCAAAAATTTGTAAGTACCTGAGACAGAGAAAGTACCCTTGGAATCAGGCCCCCATAACAATCTGTCAGGTCTAGCTGGATTAAGAGAATTGATCTTCAGAATTGCTGCACTGTCTTCCTGATCAACAACTTGTTCTACAAGCCAACTGTTCCATTGAAGGCCATTGTTCTGTAAGAGGTCTTTCACCCATATTAAATGCCCTCGAGCAATTTCAATCAGAGTAGGAAAGGACTTTTTCAAATTAGGAACCCAGTTCAGATTTTCAATCTTTGTATTTGAGCCATTCCTTATTTCAATCTTCACACATTTAGCAAAGGTAGGCATTACAGAGAGCCAACTATTCCATAGCAATGATCCTTTACTGGATTTCTCAGCTTTAAAAATGGGGCCATCAGGGAAGTATCTGTCCTTCAGAATTTTGCTAACCATTAGCTCAAGTTTTGAAATGATTCTCCACAGCTGTTTACAGATTAAAGGCCTCAATGAAGAGACTTATATCATGAAATCCCAATCCACCCTTTAGCTTAGGGAAAGTGATCTTCTACCATTTTTTCCAATGAATTCCTGATTCTGTTTCTCCAGATTTCCACCAAAAAGTGGCACACAGCTTGGAGATTTCCTTGCAAATTGAGACAGGCAGTTTGAAGCAAGTCATTGAGAAGAGAGGGAGTGCTTGAATCAATGATTTTATCATCACCTCCTTACCTGCTGGGGAGAGGAGCTTATTCTTCCATCCCTGCAGCTTGCTCCTAATTGAGGTCAGAATATAGTCAAAAACCTCTTTCTTTGATCTCCCAATTCCAAGTGGCAAACCAAGATATCTAGTTGATCTATGTGGAACAATGCCTTGGAGAACACCACATATTCTGTCTTTCAAGTGCTGAGGAGTGTTTCTACTGAAGAAGATACCTGATTTCTGAAGATTTACTCTTTGGCCTGTAAATAGCCTGTATTTTTCCAGAATAGAGAGGATTTGAGTAGCTTGATCAACCCCAGCTTTGCAAAATAAGAGGGAGTCATCTGCAAACAGCAGATGAATGATGGCAGGCCCATTCTTTGAGAGTTTGATGCCCTGAACTCCTCCATGAGTCTGAGCATTAGTGATGAGGGCTGAGAAAACCTCTACTGCAATGATGAACAAATAGGGGAACAGAGGGTCCCCCTGTCTTATGCCTCTGCTTGGAGAAATGAAGCCACTAACTTTGCCATTGATCTTGAAAGAAATTGTGGAAGTTGAGACACAAACCATTATCAGCTTAATGAACTCCTGATGGAATCCCATTTGTGTCATTATTCCTTTAATGCAAGGCCATAGCTTTCATTAAATCTAACTTCAATGACATGAAGAAGTTTTTCCCAGAAGAGTGCCTGTTTAAGAAGTGAAAGGCCTCTTGAGCAATAATTATGTTGTCCATAAGTTGTATGCCTTTAACAAATGCAGATTGGTGGAAGCTGATGCAGGTATTCAGACAAACCATAAGCCTATGAGCTAGGACTTTAGAGAGGATCTTGTATATCACACAACAAAGGCTAATTGGTCTGAAGTGTGCCAAAGAGTCTGGGTGGACTGTTTTTGGAACCAAAGATAGGATGGTATGATTCTAGTACTTCAGAAGAGCCCCTGTTTGGAAGAAGCTGAGAATTGCTGCAAACACATCATTCTTTACCAATGTCCAGAAGTGCTAATAAAAGAGAGCATTCATGCCATCTTCACCTGGTGATTTTTCAGGAGGCAGGGAGAATAGAGCATCCTTCACTTCAGTTTCTGAGACTAGTTTCAGTAAGGCCTGATTCATATCCTCTGAGATTGATCTGGGAATGAGATTAATGATAGACTCACCTTCACTACTACCTTCTGCAGTAAAAAGATCCTTGTAGAACTCAGCAACATTATGCTCAATGTCTTCTTGAGAAGTAAGAATAACTCCATGGGGAGTGAGCAATCTTGTAATGGCATTGAGCTTCCTTTTCTGAAGAGTGTAGGCATGAAAGAACTTGGTGTTGCCATCTCCCTCCTTGAGCCTTTTCAGTTTTGATCTTTGCTGCCAGTGTAGCTCTTCTTGTTTATGAGCAGCATTCAATTCTGTTCTAGTCTGATTCCACTCTTTTCAGTAGCCATCTGCTTTAACTTCTCTCAGCATTTCTAACTTCTTAGAAAGAACTTCAATTGTTTGTTGATTCTGAGTTTTGAACTTTGAGCTCTAGATGAGAAGAGCAGCTCTGGTGTTTTTCACTTTCTCTTTGAGTTTGAAGAAAAGAGTGCCTGATATGGGTTGATTTCATATTGAAGAGACAATGTCCTGAATTCCATCCCTCCCAAGCCATCTCTTGTCAAAGTGAAATCTTGCTGGCATTTTAGATTGAAGTTGCCCTAGATGAAGAAGGATCATAGAGTGATCAGAGGCACTCCTTACAATGTTTGAGACTGTGGCATTCGGAAATTTCAGGATCCAGTCATTAGAAGCAAAAGATCTATCTAACTTTTCTTCAACCAGCCCTTCATCACTCCTCAGATTACACCAGGTGTATTTGTAGCCTTGCATAGGGAGCTCCTCCATCTCCATATTATCAATAAATGAGTTAAAACCCAAGAGGCTTCTAGCACTCCTCAAGTTGCCACCTGCTTTCTCCTCTATAGGACAGAGGTCATTCCAATCTCCCATGGCAAACCACACATTACCCCAGCTAGATTTGTAGAGACAAATCCTCCCATTGAAGAGATCTGGCCTGTCTACAAGTGCTCATATAAACAAAATTCCCCATTGGGGAGGAGCATAATCTAACTTATATTCAACAGCCATATAGAAAGATTTTTTGATAATATTGAAAATATTTACATTAGAATACCAAAGGAGAAGCAAACCCCCACTAAAACCCAAAAGATCTACAAAAGGAAACCTATCAACAAAACCCAGCTTTCTAGCCACAGATATAACAAAGCCACTAAATTTCTTGGTTTCAGATAAAAACAAAAAAGAGGGATGGTGAGACTTGATAGCCTCTCTGATTTGGGAAATTGTAGAGGGCCCACCCACCCCTCTACAATTCCACACCGCAGCTAACATTTAGGATTGGGGTGCCATTTGAGGCTGACATCCCCCACCTGATCTTGCTTACCTTTGGATTTGTTGTTTGTAGCTGGAACTGAAGAGAGTGGATCCTGAGATTGAGTGGCTTCATCTATAGATCTCTTGGAGTTTGAACTATCTTGAATAATCAAGTCTTGTCCTTCATTTCTTTCTAGTCTTCCTTCCCTAATCTTTTTAGTCAAATATTTATGGTTATAACCTTGATTAGTTGAATTTAAATTTATGATGATTTAGTTTTATGAAAACAAATATGGGGGTATTTGATATAGCCATACTATCATATAGCAGTTTATGTTGTCCCGGTTCGGACATTGCCGAGTCGACTTACCCGAAGTCGACTCTACCCACATATCTCCTCGTGATAATACATTCGGTCAAAGGTCCGGACGCTTTTCTTAGTCGACTTCTACCATGTCGACTAGCCTAAGTCGATTCCATCTGGAAGGATGAATAAGCGTATTAGGGTCTACTAGCGATTGAGGGATGATCTAGCCGGCTGGAATGCAAGGATATATCGGGTCGACTGAAGTAGTCTCGGGGCTCATCGATCCCTGACGACTCCAGTACACTTCAACATATCAAAGTGATATAGCCATACTATCATATAACGGTTTATGTTGTCCCGATTCGGACATTGCCGAGTCGACTTACCCGAAGTCGACTCCACCCACATATCTCCTCGTGATAATACATTTGGTCAAAGGTCCGGACACTTTTCTTAGACGACTTCTACCATGTTGAATAGCCTAAGTCGATTCCGTCTGGAAGGATGAATAAACGTATTAGGGTCTACTAGCGATTGAGGGATGACCTAGCCGGCTTGAATGCAAGGATATCTCGGGTCGACTGAAGTAGTCTCGGGGCTCATGGATCCCTGACGACTCCAGTACACTTCAACATATCAAAGGGAAGCTGTTAAGGATAAGAAGGAAGCTATCAAGGATAAGGAGGAATCTAGATGCTGATTAGGAGGTGGACGGAATGCGAACCGACCAGGGTATTTTGGATATTTCTAGTAAGTCGGCCAGGGCATTTTGGGGACTTCAGGTAAATGTTTTAGTTCTATATAAAGGAGCTGAGGTAACTCCAAAACCCTAACTCCCATTCATTCTATAATTTCCTCCATTACTGCTGCTGCTCTCAGGGCAGCTTCCTCCATATCTCTTTCACATACTGACTTGAGCGTCGGAGGCTCTACGCCGGAAACACCTCCGGCGTTGAGTTCTTGCAGGTTTTCTTGAGGTTCAACAACGGTTTGGAGGCTATCAAGTCAGATCGGAGCTCATTCCCATCGGTTCATTCCAGATCTGGGCGGTTTTCCATTGGTTCACTCCAGATCTAAGAGGAGACCCATCATTTTGGCGCCGTCTTTGGGGAGTTCTTGAAGGAATTAAGAGCTTTACACCTAGCTTTGATCTGTCTCTAATGGCTGAGAAGGAAGGATTACAGAAGAATTTGAATGAGGATTTCAGGGCAGCATGGACTGACAAGCGGCCTCCGCCGATTCCCAACATCAGACCACCGCTCCAAGTGTTGGGTTTTCCACCGTTCGGAGCACACGCACCGTCGGGGGCGCGTATGGGAGAAGAGACACCTATCACCCCGCCTGGAGTCAAGATCCCGGTGCTCACTCAAGGGGAGGCCAGCCACGCGAAAGGCACGAGCGGAGAAATGGATGGTCATGCATCGACCGAAACATCTCTGAAATTGGGAAGGCAGCCTGGGCGACTTGAGCAGGAAACAAGGCCGCCACCCCAAGTCGAGGAGCAAACACTGACCATGACGAGAAGCGAGATGCAGAGGATAATAGCGGAGGCAGTAGCGGCCCAACTTAAAGAGACGCAAGTCGAACAGCCCAGAATCGACCGGCTAAGGGTCGAGCAACCTCAAATCGAACAGTCTCCCCCGGAGCATGAGCAGCAAGCCCAATCCCACGAAAGACAGAATAGAAGGGCGGACGAAGAAGAGTCTTCTGTCAGAACTGTCAATCCACAAGCAAGGAACGACACTCTCGAGCAGTTTCTAGCTCAGGTGCGAGATCTGCAGGCTCGAGTCGAGGGGAGAAAAACGGGGAGCTCGAGAGGACACCCTTTTCACAACATATTTTAGACGCCGACTTGCCTCAGGGGTTCAGAGAGTTTAACATCTGGTACGATGGGTCGACTGATCCCTCTCGACATCTGAGGAGTTTTGAAAACATGGCAGTACTGCACCGCTATAATGATCCTGTTCAATGTCGAGCGTTCCTGACGACTCTGCGAGGACCTGCTCAAGACTAGTTTCATCAATTGCCCCCAGGAGCCGTCAGGGACTTTGATGGATTTAGCTCAAGTTTTCTAAACCAATTTGCAAGTGTGGAGGCCCAAGAGAAATCTTACCTTACTCTGATAGGCATGCAACAGAAGGAAGGAGAATCATTGAGGGATTACGTTGCGAGATACACGCGGGCGTGCGTCGACGTCCCCTCGGCCATGGAGGAAATCAAGTCGGGTGGACTCACTAGAGGACTCCTCCCAGGATTATGCAGGAACTCCTTAGCAAAACGACCCGGGAGGACGTTCGATGAGGTTTTAGGAAGGTGTGCCAAATACATGAATGTAAAGGAAGCAGAAGCCAACTTTCTGCAAGCGGCTAAAGCAAAACTGAATCCCGTGATGAGAAGAAGGATAAAAAACTAATCACGGCGGTAGAAAGGAAGGGATCCCCGAAACTAGAAAGGGAGAGGCGATCAAGGGGATGGAGGACAACTCAATATACCCCGCTGTTGGCCTCGAATGCAAGTATATTGGAGGTAATGGAGAAAGAGATCCGCGAAAGTGTTGTCAGGTGGCCACGGACGAGAAAGGATGGACC